CTTTTATTTTTTTTCGCGTTTTTTAAACAATCTGAAACCTATCCTAAATCTAAACTGAAAAAAGTAAACAAAAATATCCTAAAACCGGAAAGTAAAAAAGTTTGAAATTTTTTGTTCAAAGTTAAAAAACTAACAATGGGTTAATGCACAAAACAGAACGTATCGAAAGACATCAAATCTCAATATAATATCTATTAGGAATAAAAAAATATGTTTATGTGATATATTATGTTGTCAAATATCTCCCTTCCGCTTTTTTGCTCTTGGTTTATAATACAAAAAGGCGGAAGGGAGATATTTGACAACCTTATATTACCTAACTTTGGGTAAATAAGTATTTTTAAAGGAATAATCTAACATAATATGTTTCTTTTTATTTCTTTCGCCCCCGCCTCCTCAATCAATCTAAATATAAAACTATTGCTCTAAATTTGTCCAAAAGGGCTCTAAAACCGACCCGTGCCCGGCACAATGGCCGGCCCGCGCTATTGTCTCGCGATCGCTCTCCTAATCGTCATTAACCACCTGTCCTCCTGTACGATCGAAAGTGCCTTCGAGTCCGGAGGAGACGAAGCATCGGCTGGAACAGGAATCGACTCCAACACCAACCCCAACACCAACACCAGAAAACCGAAGACTTTCGCCTAAGAAAACCACCATCGCGCCAACACTATCCGTTACCACTGTCGCCATCACAACACAACACCGTAGTAATACAACCACCATACTACAAAACAAAGAAGACGCTCCCAGATACTCCCAGACGCAAACCTATAGTCAAAACTAACACCAAGAATAGTCGCAAACGACGTGACGAGAGTATGTTGTCTGCTTCGAAGGCCACTGCGGCGCAGCACGCCCTGGACGACGCGTCGCTCGAGGTTGGCAGGGCGAAGGTGCAGAAAATGTCGCAGAACGGCGAAAGGAAGGCGGGGAAAGGACCTAAGAACACGTTGCAGCTCGTCACACTGGTAAGTGGTAGTATAGAAAAATATTATTTATGTTCTTAGTGGCCAATTCTAGCATAAGGGGCCGTCCATTAATCACGTGATCGATTTTTGAGGATTTGAAAAAACCCTATGTGCAATTTTATTGTAACCTATAGAAAATCGTAAAATTTTTGAATATTTTTTTCAAATTTTTTTGTTTTTTTTTTTTTAATTCGAGTAAAAAAGTAAATGCTTCTCTCGCACGTGTTATTTCAAACATTTTCATTTTTTTGTCAAACTTAACCCTCTCCCTTTTAAACCTAACGTGATTTTTAGACGGCTCCTAAAAAATAGTATAAATGTTATATTACGGGTCTAATTTTCGCGAAGTCGAATTTTGACACTTGTAGATTTTGGAGGTTAGGTTTTAGTAGTAGATATAGAGTAAAAAGTGAAAATCTTAATTTTCTGACAGCTGTGAGACATAATTGCACTTCAATTAATATATGCGTTAAGTTAAATTTTGACATTTTTGCCATTTAGAGGTTAGGTTTTAAAGGATATAAGGTAAAAAGTGTATTTTTTTTGCATTTTGGCAGTTACGTGACAACAAAAATACACTTATAACAATAATATAAGTGTGAAGTCGAGTTTTGGCATTTGTACATTTTTTAGGTTGAGTCAACGAATTTATCATGTTAAGATTGATGTTTTTGTTTTAAAAAAATATTTTAGGGGTTAGGGGCCAAATCTCGCATAAAATATAAACTTTATAATATAATTATTACGTGATAAACAAAAAGTTGCATTTTGACATTTTTTCCTTTTGAAGGTTAGGATTTAGAAGTAGATATAGAGAAAAAAGTTAAAATTTTAGTTTGTGAACTGTAAACTGGCAGCTTTTAAAATACACTTAGGATATTTTCACTTACGATAATATATGCGTGAAGACAAATTTTGTCAATTGTACATGTTGGAGGTTAGGTTTTAGAAGTAGATATAGAGTTAAAAGTGAAACTTTTAGTGCTGTGAAAGTTACGTAACAACAAGAATACACTTATGATAACAATACTCTTATAAAAACATATATGTGAAGTGGAATTTTGGCATTTGTACATTTCAGAGGTTAGGTTTTCCAGGTAGATATAGAATAAAAAGTAAAAGTTTTAGTATCTTGACAGTGACGTGACAACAAAAATACAATTTTGATAATAGCACTTAAGATAACATATGCGTGAAGTTGAATTTTAACATTTGTACATTTTGGAGGTTATGTTTTAAAGGTAGACGCAGAGTGAAAAGTAAAACTTTTAGCTTTTTGAATATTACGTAACAACAAACATACAGTTATGATAACAAATGTGTGAAGTCGAGTTTTGACATTTCTGCTTTTTGGAGGTTAGGTTTTAGAAGTAGATATAGAGTAAAAAGTAAAACTTATTATTTCGACAATTCGTGATTACCAACTCATGTGATTTTAGACCCGCAACGTAGCTTTTCTAGTTTATTCAAAAACTGACTTCTTAATTAAATAAATGTAAACGAATATTTTTATGCTAAAATTGTGCTTCAACTATAGTAGTGCATGGCATCGCGCTTTAAGGTAAATTGTTAGAATTTTTTGCACATTTTTGATAATTTAGAATTGTTTTTTGTATAAAATTTGTTTTTTAATTTTGAATATTTTAAAAAGCAAAGAAAGTAGATTTTAGTAAAAAAGTAGGTTTGAAAAAAAGCATTTGGCAGTCAAAAAAGATCATTAGACTTATGCACATCAAATTATTAGATATTTTATAGATTTTAATAAGTATAAATTTTGTGTACATTTCGTAACATTAAGTTTCATAACATTGTTTATTCGTTAGACTACGACGCGGCGCTTACGCGCTTCGTTATTTCGTCTCAAGCGCGATTGCTTTGGAAAAAGTTCAAGATTTTCAAAAGGTTATGAAAAATATTTATATAAAAAAAAATTTTAAAAAAGTGAAATTTTCTCCAAAAATTTCAGTTACCAAAATTTTTTTTTCAGTTTTCATAAAAACTTAAAGCTTTTTTAAAAATATTCATATTTGATACGGAAAGTTCCAGCAATTTGCCTTAAAGTACAATGCCATTTAGTTATATATAAATTAAAAACTACATTTTTAAGGAACTAAAAAAAAGAATCTAACTTTATGTATCCTGGTACGGAACCCATTGAAATGTAAACAAAATATTACTTATTACAATTGCTATAAAATATCTTATAATTTGGTGAATATATGTCTAATGATCTTTGAGGAATCGAATGCTTTTTCAATCATTCAAATCGGTTGAACCGTGTTCACGAAATCGTCGACGAAAATTTGTATCCGCACACACACACACATACATACAATTCTTCTAAGGTATGCTAAAATATTTGGAAACTTTTGAAACGTAAAGATATTTGAAAGTTTTCATTTTCGCTTTTTTTCTCTTACCCTACGGGAAGTAAAAAAAAATATAAAAATAGAAGATACAGAATAAAATTACGAATAAAATAATATATAAATGGTTAAGTGCGTTCATATAATTTCCTCGAGATTTTCCAGTTTTCCTTGAATTTTTCAATTGCAACTTGCCTGTAGGCCACACCGCGAGAAATTCGATGTTGCGATATATAGAAAAAAAACTAAGAAATTTAAACCTTTGTAACGATGTATAATATTTTATATGTTTTCTTTACAGAAATATCGAATATATATATAAACGTTGTTTTCATATTATAATTATTTAATCATATTTTCATATAAATGACAATTTTTATTACATGTTTGTATCATTAAACGCAAAATTTTCATGTATAGGTATTATTATTAATTGAATCACTTAAAACATCAATTTTGAAAATAACGATGTCAATTACATTATGAATTATTCCACAATCTTTTATAATTCTGGAAAAATCTACACATAATTCACTTTCAATTGAACTACACTTTATCATAAAAAAACAGCAAGGTCAACCCATTTTTATAATTGTAATAATAATGATCGATTGATGTTATACAAAAATTTGAATAGATTTTTTTTGGTCATACATAATAGAATTATTTATCTTGTTTGGTAACTTGATGTGATTCATATCTATAAATATAAATTCTTGTAGGCCAAAAATCGATTCTTGAGTACAGACAGGGCATGCGTCAAAAACTTTATGTAACGACTTCAATTTAATATTAAATTAATAAAAAAACAATGTATGATGAAGGTTATCATGGTAAAAAATTCAAACAATATTCGTTTGTTGCTTGTAAGCAAAAATTTGATACTCGTATCAAAGATAACAAAAGAACTTTATCATATGGTGTGATGTTTCGTCAGTTAGGTGAGATCATCACAAAACCAAGAAAAATGCTAAAAATTGACTGTTTAAATATTTAATAAAATAAATTAAGAATTAATGGAATTACATTTTTTTAAATTAAATATTGACATTTTACAAGTATATATTTTTTTACAAAAGAAGGAAAAAAAATAGCTAAAAAATAGTTATTACTGGACTTTGAGAAGACTAGTCAATAATTTTCAATTTACTTGCAATTTGTATTTAAATGCTAATTTATGTTAAAATCTGCCTTAGTAAAATGTTACGTCAGCAAAGAAAAATCATGATGTTAAAAATTGTTTGACATAATTTATAATTTTAACTAATTAGTATGTTTAATTTTTAATCTTATCTGCCCATGTTATTAAAAATCTGCATTTCAGGGCTGCAATTTTAATTGAGCATTATTTTTTTTTACAAATGAAGAAAAAAATTAGACAAAAAACTGTTATTACTAGACTTTGAGAAGAAAAAAATCAATAATTTTCAATTTACTTACAATTTGTATTTAAATACTAATTTATGTTAAAATCTGCCTTCGTAAAATGTGATATCATTATTATTGCCAAAGAAAAATGATAACGTTAAAAATTTATAATTTTAACTAATTAGTATGTTAATTTTTATTTTTATTCGCCAATGTTGTAAAAAGTCCATCTTTCATGGCTGCAATTTTAATTGAGCTTTCTGTGAATTTATAAAAATTAATTTAACTAATTGATCAATTCTATTTTTAGATGTTCAGACATGGAGACAGGGCTCCAGAACCGGCAGAAGTTTCAAGTTTTCCAAACTACGAATATGCAAATGATACTTGGTACCCTGTTGGAGCAGGTCATCTAACTAATGTAAGAAAAATGTACTTTTTTTAATTAATAATTTATTATATGTAGAAAGAGACAATTTTTACTTGAGATTATATTTGAGATGAAGTGAAAATTTGATATCATACAGCTTGATATCGATATGGCCGGAATTGGGATTAAATTCGGGACTAGTTTATTTTTATGTTCTCTAGAAGAATTTAAATAGAGAAAAGTATTTCCAGAAGTTTTTTTTATCTTCTAGAGTTGATTATCTCTGTTTGACCTCGACTAGTATTTAGGTTTATTAACACATAACAAATATGACAATGACTAAGTATGTGACAATTTTAGTATCTTCACATCCAAAGGTGCTTTGAATAATTTAAAAAAATTCAAATCGTTATCGAAAATAGATATCTAATGGTGAATGACAATAACACAAATCATTTAAATAAAAAATTATTTCAAAACTTCCAAAGCAATCCAAATTCTTAAATGACGTGACTTTTGTAAATGGCAACCCAAGTGGTTCCACTATCTCTATTTGTGACTTAGACAGTTATTGAAATTTATGTAAAACTGATGAGTTTTTTATTAGTACAGCAATTTCGAATTAAGACTATTTTCACGTGTAAACTTATTGCTATCTATATTTCCAATCCTGCTTGACATCAAGCTGTCCAAGGCGGTTTCAAATTACTCTAGAATTTCTGATGCAAATCCCATAGCTCTAACCACTAATCTACGTGAGAGCCCTAATTGATAATTTATAAGTAACCGATTATATTACTATCTACATTTTTAATGCTGCTTGACTCCAAGCTTCCCGAGGCACATATCAAACCAAGATATTTGATACAAATCCCATAGCTCTAACCACTAGTCTACGTAGGAGCAATAATTCACAATATAAGTAACTGATTATATTGCTATCTATATGTCCAATGCTACTTGACATCCAGCTGTCCAATTCGGTTTCAAATCAAACCAAAATGATATAAATCCCACAGCTCTAACCACTGATCTGCGGGAGAGTCTTAATTTATAATTTATAAGTAACCGAGTATATTGCTATTTATATTTCCAATGCTGCTTGACATCGGGCTGTCCGAAGCAGATATCAAACTAGGATTTCTAATACAAAATCCATAACTCTAACTACTAACCTACGGGAAAACCCAAATTGATAATCTATAAATAATCAATTATATATTCACACATTGCTATCTATATTTCTTGACATCAGACTGACAAGATTTCAGATACAAAGCCCTTAACTCTAACCACTAGACTACGGGAATGTCCAAATTAATAATTTATAAGTCGATTATTTCTTATGTATCATTTTTGTTTTATTTCAGAATGGAAAGTTGCGTCTGTACAAATTGGGAAAGACGGTGCGTGCACGTTATGGGAAATTTTTGGGAGATTTATATACCACCGATTTGGCAACGACATTTTGCACGGATTTCCCAAGGACCAAGGCGAGCGCCCAAATGTTTCATGCAGGATTGTGGCCTCCTTTGGGCGACCAAATTTGGTCCGATGATGTAAGTAAATCGATAAAAAAAAATAGACCAAAAACTTGAACAAAATTAAAAAAAATATCTCTTAAACAAAGATAGAAATCGATGCTGATTGGGATATTTCACTCGTTGATACTTCAAATACAGCTTCAAATATTTTTCATCATGATATCTGCATGCCTTTACTTTAAACTGAGTTTTACTTCAGATTTATAATGTATACATACCACATAATAATCAAAATCATCAAAATATTAATACCGTGGCTTAAAGCAAAAATCAATCATTTAAAAAAAATAACAGAAATCTAAGTGATGATAAATTGTTTTTAATTATTTATGATTTTCTACTATATTTCTAGGAGAGTCTCGCAAGTATGTGGCAACCAGTTCCATATAACATCGATCTAAAACTAAATAGCGCGGTATGCATTATCTTTCCATCAAAAATAATAATTACAATATGACAAATCTATTATTATTATTTTATTTTTTTAGATGAATTCGTTTCTAAGAAGTCCCTGCTTCGCTTACGAATTCATGAGAGTTTTGCAACTTCCCGAATTCCAGAGACTGATACGTCCACACGAAAAACTATTGAATCTTTTGATCGAGAAAACGGAAATGAAAGTAGATAATCCGTTGCATGTTTGGCTCGTGAAATCGCTATTTTTGGCACAGGTAAAAAGAACATTTTTTAAATACATTATATATATTATTGTGGCGAATGTGCACATTTTTCGGTAAATGTATAAATTTTTCGGTAAATACACACATTATCCGGTAAATGCGCACATTTTCCTATAAAATGTAGACATTTTCTGATCAATGTCCACATTTTCCGGTAGATCTGGTAAGTATGCACATTTTCTTGTAAAATGTACACATTTTCTGGTATGTGTACACATTTTCTGATAAATGCCTACATTCTCCAGTAGATGTGCACATTTTATGGTAAATGTGCACATTTTCCTATAAAATGTACGCATTTTCTGATCAATGTCCATATTTTTCGATAGATGTGCACATTCTCTGGTGAACATGCCCATTTTCATGTAAAATGTACGCATTTTCTGGTAAATGCCTACATTTTCTGGTATATGTACAAATGTTTCGGTAAATGTACATATTCTCTGGAAAATGTGCACATTTTCCAGTAGATGTGCACATTTTCCTGTCAATATCCACATTTTTCTGAAAAATGTATACTTTCTCTGGTAAATATGCATATTTTCCTGTAAAATGTACACATTTTCCTGTAAACTTCAAATAAGAGAAATATACATTGAATTCACAAGGTGTAGTTGTGGTAAAAGTGAGCATATGGTAAATAGAAATATCGCTCAAAGAAATTAATATAAAAATGCAGTCCTTTACAAAAAACCATCTTTCTTTAAAAAATGATGAAATTTATTGAATTCCTGTAAAATATACGCATTTTCTGGTCAATATCCACATTTTTCTGAAAAATGTATACATTTTCTGGTAAATATGCATATTTTCCTGTAAAATGTACACATTCCTGTAAACTTTAAATAAGAGAAATATACATTGAATTCACAAGGTGTAGTTTTGGTAAAAGTGAGCATATGGTAAATAGAAATATCGCTTAAAGAAATTATTATAAAAATGCAGTCCTTCACAAAAAAACATCTTTCTTAAAAAAATGATGAAATTTATTGAATAGCAGTTCTTGCACAGACAACTAAAACTACTTTCATTATAAAACTCATTTGTTTCTTTATATGTGTGAGGAAATATTTTTACCTTAAAACTTTTCTTACAACATGAAGATTGGAAAATAAAAATTTTCAAAGTAAGATTTTGTACACGTGCCGGGAAATGTACATATATTAAGTTCAGATCACAAATACCTATCTTTTAGGGAAATGTATACATTTCCCAAGAGTGTACATTTGCCGTATAATATATATATTTTGAAAAAACTATAAATTTTTTTATAATTTTATTAGGAAGCAATGGGTAAATCAAAGCCCGATTGGGCCGAAGACCATTGGGACGAAATTTGTGCAGTTTCCGAAATCGCCTTTGCGGCCTTGATGTACAACGACGATCTTAAAAGAATGGCCATAGGTAAATATGAAATATGAAATACATTTTTGAGAAAACATAATACGCTTTTTTACCAACGATTAGAACTGCGTGTTCTTTAAGTAGAAGGTGAAAATTTGTTTACGCGCGGTCTATTTTTCAAACCTTCAATTGATTTTTATAAATCAACCACTTCTCCTAAGCCTATAATATTGTATGGTGTTCATTTCTACTATCAACTCTATTATCATACAAAATTTCAACAAAATCCAAGAAGAGTAAACTTGAGGTTCTCTTTGTCAGTAAAAAATAGTACTGCCTCTTCTAATAAAACAAATGTACTTCAATGAACATTAACAAGGATAATTTCTATCTTTTACCAAAGGGCCAATATTGAAGAGGATAGTATCAGATTGCCAAGACAAAGCAGATGGTGTTTTGGAACCACGGCAGAGAAAACTAATCGTATATTCAGGGCATGATACAACAGTTGGCCCTCTTTTTGCAGCCATGGGCGGCAGTGAAGGTTACATCGACGAAGATGGAAACCCTTTGAAAACTATTGTCCCTTCGTTCGGATCTGCAGTTATTTTGGAGCTGCATAAAATTGAAGGAGAATACGCAGTTAAGGTAAAGGATATATACATAACAAAGAGTCATCAAAATCATTAGCCATGCCAAACTATTGCCTGATCGATCCCTAGAAGCAATGTGATGCATATCCCTTTAGCAACTATTGAAATGCGGACTTTTTTGATATTGATTTTTGATTAATTGGGCCAATTCTGGGACAAAATAGACGAAAGATACTGAAATGTGTCACAATGCTATGAATTATACATAAAATCTAACTTCTCGCCACTTATGACAAGATGCCTTCTTGAGGTTTGTGCCTTTTCTAGATTAAGTTGTCTATTAAAAACGCCTGACTGCACAGCAACCACAATTGCTTTTTGACAGCTTTTAGTATCACTTTGTATAAAACCTGCTACATAACACAACTTTGCCAAAACATTAGTCTATTTTACGCCAGAATTGGTTGAAAATAGGGTTTGTCAGTTTTCAAAAACCGGTTTTTTTGGCGAAAATTATGGAATTCGAAAATCGGTTTTTAGTGAAAAAAGTCGTTTTTCACTGTATAAATGGAAAATGACAAATATAGCCAAATATAAAAGATAGATGAAAGCGTTTTGATTCTTAAAATCATATCGGTTCAATAGCATTTGATATCTTATCAGTCTGCAATGGTTCCCAGAAATGTTTTGTATATATTAATTTAGATTTTTATACCAGTGTATATTTTAATTTAGATCAGTGTGACTTCTTCTTGAAGAAGTAACTTTCTGTACTCGAACTTAAAAAAAGAGTTTTGAACTCTAGAAGCCATAAATAAAAGAACAAAAAGCTTAGAATTGTTATATCAGGCTTTAAAAACAATTAAGCATAATTTAGTCGCAGGTATGAGAGTATTTTCTATTTTAGTAGCAATTCGATAGACGTTTTCAGTTTTTTGAAATCATATTTTATTAAACAAAAAAAACAATTAAAATGTCTAAAATTGGGCAATACCCGAGTTTAGCTTAATTGTTTTTAAAACTAAAATTGATATTAACAAGTATGTATCAACATGTATCTAAATTTTTTTTTAATTTAATGAATGTTTTTATTAAAAAAAATGTATTATTTTTATTAATTCGAAAACATTCCTTTCACTATCATAAAAATATTTTCATTTTTATATGTGAAAATGATGCATGAATAACGAATAATTATTTTCAAAGTTATTTAATCAAGATAAACTATTATTTTTTAATTCTACTAATTGAAACTAAAATAATTTTGTTTACTATTCATAGAATTAAAAATCACACTAAATTTGCGGATAAATTACAGAATATTCGAGCAAAAATTTATTTTCCATATAAAATTCGAAAACCGGCTAAAACCGTTTTTTTTAGCAATATTAAAATTCGAAAACCGGTTTTCTGAAATGTCGATTTTTGTATAAACCCTAGTTCAAAATTCTTAAGCTAGTTTTCAAGTGACTGAAGTACAAGATCTAATCCTGACTATTTTTTACTATTTTCTTACAATTATCCTTTTCCCTTAGATTTTATTCAACGAAAAAAGCCAAGACGGTACCTTCAAAGAACTCAAATTAGCAGGATGTGGAGAATTTTGCCCACTGGACAAATATATAGAAATGACCAAAAATATTGCAGACGATGACCAAGGATTAGACAAATGCCCGGAGGCTAAAAACAGCAAATCGATATTCGAGAGAGCCATTAAAAGAAGACAGTGATATAATAAATTGAGTGATATAATTATAAGATAATAATTTGGAGAGTAAAATTATAAGATAATGATTCAGAAAGTAATCTACACCTAGGAAACAGGGTTGGAATATTTATTCGTCCGTATATGATTGAAGATAGCTAAATAAACGCAATTAGAACACATATAGACTATTTTATTATTTTTGAATTGCAGAAATTAAAATCCTTGATTTATAATGCACATTTTACCAGAGTTGTGCATGGCATCGTGCCTTAGGGGAAAATTGCCGTACTGTAATTTAATATTTTTAAAAACTGAGAAAATAATAGATTTTTTAAAGAATTTAGATTTTTTTTGATAGGTACTTAAAAAATTTGAATATTGAAAAAATTACCATATTTGAAAATACTGAAACATTTTGAAAAATTAGATTTTTTTTGAAAACTAATTTTTTTTCTTTTTTTTTTGATATCATGAAAACTGAAATTTCTTGAAAGTTTTTGATACCAATTTATATAAAAACTCAGAACATAATAGATTTTTTTGGAGAATTTTGGATTTTTTTTGATCATTTTACAAAATTTTGGCATTTAAAAAATTTTAATATTGAAAAAATTGCCGTGTTTAAAAAATACTAATATTTTTTGAAAAATTAGAAATTTTTTGAAAACTAAAATTTTTTGATTTTCTTTTTTTTGGAAATTTTGAAAACTGAAATTTCTTGATGGTTTTTGATACCAATTCATATAAAAACTCAGAAAACTAGTTGGTATTGGTATTTTGCCTTGGGGCAATTTACATGAACTTCCCAAAATGTATAAATAATCGACTTAATCAATAAAAAATAAATTAATTTATGAGTGATTATAAGTATTCCGAGTGAATTTATTACACATTATTGCAAACGAACGAACGAACACGTTGTTAACTCGGAGTATTTACTAAAAGCAAATTTTCAAAAATCAATAATTTTTATAATTGAACCAGTTTCCGTAGGATTTTAATGGTTTATTATGTTCAAGACCAAGTACACTATCGTGATACCAAGAAAATCGTCTAATTTTATTTTTAACAAACATCAAAAAAACTACTCGTTTTCTCAAACTTTGATGAATTTTAAAAATTAAACTACTTGTCATAAGGCCATAATATTTCAGTAAGTTCTATAAGACCAGGATATATATTGCCAAAAAAAGTTCCATGAAAATCGGCTTAAATTTTTTTTTCAACAGTTAATTACTTGCACGTCTCCTTATCAATAGGAAACGAATGTTTTTTGAGTCATTCCAATCGGTTGAGCGATGCTTCCGAAAACGTCGACGTAAAATTGTATCCACACATACACAGCATACATCAACTTTCTCTAAGGTACGCTAAAATGTTCAGAAACCTCTAAAACGTAAAGATATGCAAAAATTTACATTTTTCATTTTTTGACGTACAAAAGTATCTTACTCTGCTGGAAGTTTTCGTTGCTATTGTATATTTTACTGTATTACATTTATTTTTTTGTTAAATATTTATATTAATAACAGTAATCAGACCTATTGTAATGACTTCCTAATTACGTAACTTTATAGATGACAACCCAACGGTTGCCTCTCTCGTTTTGATATTACAAATTTTAAATTACTTAGATTTTTTATTGCTTTGTAAGGGCTACTTTTACTTGAAAACATATTGCTATCTATAAGGTGACCATTTTTTTGCATAAAATCCGAGACGGATTAAAATGTGTGGGAGAGTGGAGGGGGGGGGGTATTGGTTAAAATTTCCTAGTTGAAATTTCAAAAACTTTTTAAAAATCTGGGACAAAACATCTAAAACCGGGACAAATATTGCTTTTAGAAAAAGCCGGGATGCAAGGCAGAAAATGGGACTGTCCCGGCCAATCCGGGACGTATGGTCACCTTACTATCTATGATTTCAAGATATATATGACATTTAATGCTAACAAAACCAGATGTTTCGTGATACAAATTCTATGTAAACAGAAACTAATTATAAACGAGTATTACGCAAAGATAACTGATATAAATAAATCCGCGAGATTTAATGATAAGCAATGTAATCTGGTGAACTAAATAATATTTGATTACATAGCATAAGAATATCACATCGAAGGACTACATATTTTGTAGTCCTCGTAATAATGTAAAAATATAGAGGCCAATTCTCGGATAGAAATGGTATGATAATGCTATGTTTCGGGTCTATCTTCGTATAAGTTGGTAGTAATAAACTGGCAAAACTTCTATGTAACATGAACAGTCAGATCGATCAGACAACTTACAATTTCTTTTATACAGTGTGATCTGATCTTGTGTAAAGAAGTATATATTGCAAAAGCAGTTAAATACTACTCCTTTAAAAATAATAATGTGTTTGGTAAGTTTAATATTACCGGGACAGCGCGTACGCAGTCCCGACTACCAAAAATTACGCGCCCGAGTTATCCACATTAGGGACAATCGCAGGGGTCAACCCCACCTGTAAAAGTGCAATGGAAGGGCCTCGCCCTGGGGGAACCGCCTTAGTGATCACGGTAGCCCCCACGCCAGGTAAGTATGATTAAGGGTCGAAAAATCGTTGCCTAACCGAGAACGGAATATATTTCACGACGTGCTTTGGAAGAGCAAAGGGCGTGCAGACATCTGTTAGCACATAACATAACACTGAGAAGCGGTTCTACGCTTCTACGATAAAAGAATAACATCAGCAAAATGGTTAGGGTCAAATATCATATATATATTGGGTCGAGTATTTAATGAAATTTCTTAAGATGCATCAAATTTTAAACATTTCAAACAAATCAGCACTATATAGAATTACATGAATATTGATAACATTTATGTATGTTATCATTATGTGACTTAACAAAATTATTTATGACAAAAACTTCAACTTTGTAAAAAATATTGCAATAGAAATAGATAATAGATTATAAACAGATAATATTAATTAGTCATAATTGGATTGGGCAACTACTGGGTTATTAATTAATTGTTATTAGTGTGACAGATTGTAATTAAAAATACAAAAAAAAATTTTGAAAAAATAAAAATGAACAGATAATATGATGATTATCAACTCACAATCAGATGATGATATGGCACGATAAATAATGGAACATTTGATCATTTTAAAGAATGCCTGTAACGACGATCATTTTAAAGAATGACTGAATTATTCACGTATTAAATAAACTGTTTTTATTAAAAAATTCAGAACATGCATTATGTTCACGCCAAAATAAAAGCATGCAATATATTGATATAAAACAAAAGAAATCAAATCAAAATCATTATATAATCAATCAATCAATACAATACATATTAAACTTTGAAAACATTGTAAATACAAATACAATTTGTAGTTAATTTAAAAATAAACACGTAATTAATATTACAAATAAAGTGTTTTACAACAAATCATTGGTCCTTCGAAAAAAAATGAATTAAATCAAACAAACATATTATAAGACTTATAAATTCTTTAGACGGCAAAAAGTTTATTTATCGATTTCAACTAAAATATCATAAAATATTATTTGGAAGCGCCGGGTATCGATCCCGGTACCTCTCACATGCTAAGCGAGCGCTCTACCACTTGAGCTACGCCCCCTGGTATAAAATAATACAAAATACTTCGTGGTATGAACGCAAATTCGCTCGAGTTAAATATAACCGGATTGTCTTTTAAGCCTCG